GGCAAGCTTTCCTTCCTCCCCTTCCCTTCCCTTCCCAACCTCCCCCATCCCACCCCGCCCCACAGAGCCCCGCTGCGTCCCATTTAACGCTGGCCGGCCACTCTCACACATAACTTCATGCTCTTGGGCCACTCCGAGCGACGGCCGTAACCCGCTTCCTTTTTATTTCCTCGCCCACCCCTTGCGATAAAACGGTGTTGCTGTGCCGAGCGCGGTCGGCCTGTGGCTTCTTCACCGCCGGCTCACGCTTCTCTCCTGCTCTCCCGCACCGCCCTTCCCCTCGCCATAGGAGAGTTAAAAGAACCATTATCCGCCGCTGCAGCGCTGTTGGCTTTGTATCCACATATCCTGCCATTTTAAAACCGTGTTCTGTTTGTTTTATTTTTCTTTGGTGTGGTGGTTATTTTGCGTGTGTGTTTAAAATATTTGGAGAACGACGGAGCCAAGTGACGTTAAGCCCCGGTGGTGACAGCTGAGAAGGGTGACGGGCGGGAAGATGGGCGCTGTGGGAGGAAAGGCCCTGCCTGCAGCTGGCTCTCTTCAGCGACCTGCTGCGAGAGAAGCTGAAGGGTGGGCGCCTCGAGGCAGGCCCCTGCACAGCCCCCAAGTTCCCCTTGGGCGGCGTCTGAAGGGCCAAACCCGAGGGTCTCTGCAGTCCGTGCAGCTGTGGCCCCATCTGGGAGAGAGTGCCCACCTGCAAGGAAGGCTGGGACGGACGGAGCGCGATGTTTCGGAGGAGCTGGGCGGGAGACTGGCGGGTCGTGGGAAAGTGCTTGAGGGTCCGAGGAGACGGGTGGTGCAGGGCGGAGGAGCAGGCGGCGCGGGCCAAGCCCTCCTGCTCTGGCTCTGGGTCTTAAGGGAAAGGGGGGAGATGCCGATCCGAGTTCCGTCTTTCACACTGCAAACGACACTAAACTGAAATGTAAATAAAACTTTGAAAACGACGTCTTGTGAGAGTCCTGAGGAGTTCTGTTTTAAACCTGCGGGGAACAAGGAGGGGACGGGGGCTCTGCAGGCGAGCTTTGGATGGGGCTGGGGGCGGGGGGGCGCGTCGGGAGGCGCTTTTGGGGGGGGAGGGCAAAAAAAC